CTCGGTGAAGGCGGTGATCCCGATCCCGCGGGGCCGGGGGCGGCCGAGGGTTCGGTTTGTGTCTGGCCAGGAATTCGGAAGCCCCCGACCGCATAGCAGTCCGAGCGCAGCCATAGCGCAGCCATAGCGCAGCGGGCACGCTGGTCAGCTAAGTAAAGTCATCCAACAACTGTCTAGCGGTGACTTATTCCGGGGACGGGTGTTAATGGAGGGGCGGGGAGACACACTCGCCCTCTTCGAACGACCAACTTCGGGAGCGGAGAGTGCCAGGACTGTGGCCCCCCACCGTCACCCCACCCCTACGCCACCGTTAGCACACATTCCAGGACTGGGCGCGCTGGGCGGGGCGCAGCGCCTCCACCGCCAAACGGACGCAAATTCACTGCCCACCTTGAAGGGGAGGTGCCCGGTTCGGGAGGGCGATTTTGAATCACGAGACGTCCTTTCTCTGGTGATGGCCGGTGAGGCCCGGCGTGGCCCGGCCCCGCTACGCACAACAACCCCTGCGGCGACCCAGCGGCCCGCCGTCGGCCCGCCGTCCCTCGCATTCTACCTGCTGGCTCGCCCAAAAACAATTTGAACGCCGCCCGGCCCGCCTCTGGTATCCACCAAGCCAACCACGCGGCCCCGGGGCGGCTTTGGGGCGTGTGGCTCCGACCTACGCCGTGGCTACGGCCCGACATGGCCCCGCCGCCGCCGGGCACCCCCTCCCCCTCCTTCTTCCCCGTCCTATTTCCCACAAAGCACCTCACTGCAAACACGCCACACACGCCCTTGAGCAATCCGATGTGCACACGGGAGACGGACGGGCGGTGAAACCAGATCGACAATCGATGAAATCCTCGAGCCAGTCGAGCCAGTCGAGCCAGTCATTCCAGCCACGCGTTTGAATGCCTGCCGGGCCGCCCCGCCGCCCCCCCCCCCCTTCCCCCGCGCCTCGCACAATGTGCTGAGCTCCGCGAGGAGCCAGGCCACGGCCTCCAACGCCTCCCCGCGCGACTTACCGCAAATCTCTGGCCCGCCGCGCCCCGCCCCGCCACACCGTGCCGCACCACGTCCGACCCACACGCACCGCCATTGTTTGCCACAAGAGGCGACAGGACCTACAGGGCCTACAGGGCCGGCTACAGGAGTGGCTCATTGTCGCGTTAGATGGTATCGTCAAGCCTCGGGCCTCGTGCTGCGGGGGTCCGGGGGGGGGGGGGGGCTGGGTGTCGGGGGCTGGGTGTCGGGGGCTGGGGTCGGGGCTGGGGGTCGGGGCCGGGGACATCGGGGGCTGGGTGTCGGGGGCTGGGTGTCGGGGGCTGGGTGTCGGGGGCTGGGTGTCGGGGGCTGGTGTCGGGGGCTGGGTGTCGGGGCTGGGTGTCGGGGCTGGGTGTCGGGGGCTGGGTGTCGGGGGCTGGGGTCGGGGGCTGGGGTCGGGGCCGGGGACATCGGGGGCTGGGTGTCGGGGGCTGGGTGTCGGGGGCTGGGTGTCGGGGCTGGGTGTCGGGGGCTGGGGGTCGGGGGCTGGGTGTCGGGGGCTGGGTGTCGGGGCCGGGGACCATCGGGGGCTGGGTGTCGGGGGCTGGGTGTCGGGGCCGGGGACCATCGGGGGCCGACGGCCGACAGGCGTGCGGGGCTCTCCAGCGCGCCCAGTATCTAGATGAAGACCCCCGGTCCTCCAGCTGGGCCTATAAAAAAGTTTCATTGCCCCCGAAAAAGAGAGGCAGAGAGGCGGCCGTGGGTGGGGGTGTGATACGCACTGTGCCGTTCCGACGCTCCGAAGCTCCATATCCTGAGGCCTGCGGGGCCTGCGGGCCAACACGGCGCCAAGGAACAGGTGAACCGCCATAAGCACCCAATCATCATAACCCCAACCACGCCATCCTCGGCTGTGCGGCCTGGGCCGGCCTGGGCGCGGAGCGGCGCAAAGGCCGGGGAGCGAAAAAAATATGAAAGAGAGCGCCAAGGCCAGCCGACGGCTCGGCCTGCGGGCAGCCAGCGCCGAGCTGGAGGCTTCTGCCAAGTCGGCTCAGTCCGTCACAAGCAAGTTCCCTTTTGCTCGTCTGGGCCGCGGTAGCAGCGGTAGCAGCGCACACCGGACGTTTAGATTGCGGCCACGTCACGGGGGATTACCAGTGCTCACCGCGAGGGAGAAGGTTTGCACAAGCCGAGGACCCCGTCGGGGCCGCCGTCGATGCTGTGGAGGCCGCCGTCGAGGCGGCCGTCGAGGCCGCCGTCGAGGCCGCCGTCGAGGCCGCCGTCGAGGCCGCCGTCGAGGCCGCCGTCGAGGCCGCCGTCGAGGCCGCCGTCGTCACCACCACGCCGCTAAAGTCCCCGCGGCGTCTGATTCCGGCGCTAGGTCGCCGTCTCGCCGCCAGCCGCAGGTATTCCGCTGCCAAAGTGTGCTGCAATTACCGCCGGAAATCCTGCAGTGGCGGTGCGGGGTGCGCGGTGCGCGGCGGCGCGGCTCGGTGTGTGCAGGGCACGGCGAGTGGCGGCGGTTCGGGCCGCAGTGGAGACGACTGCGTTATTCACGAGATTGTAAACCATCGCAGAGCCGCGGGCCGCGGAGCCGCCGAGCCCCGCTAGAGGCAGGAGCGGCCCTGACAACCTGACCTAACCGCCATCATGCAGCGCCTTATAAATAAAATATGCGGCGCGCCGCGCGGTGCGTGACTTTCCTTTCCGCCTTTGCCCAGTCGAGCCGCTTTTTTGTCTTCTTTTTCCTCGGTGAACGAGTTGATTTCGGTTAGCGGTCCCTTGATAAACCGCGAGGCCTGCCTGCCTGCCTTCATGCCTGCGTGCCCCGGTGTTTACTCCGGGGTATACGCCCTTTCGGGACGGGTTTTTGTTACAAAGACCTGCTGCAGCATCCACCCCGTCCTCTGCTCACCGATCCCCCACCAGGCAGGTGCTGGTCCGTGCACAAAGACAGACACACACGCACGCACACACATACACACGTCCGCACGCACACGCGAACACATCAATACCTTCATACACGCTCACACACTCACTTCAAGTACAGAGTGCTTCAAAGGAACGGGCATGGCAGCCAAAATTACGCCAAGGCCTCCAACTCGAGCTTGCCCATACATCTTCCTGGAAAAGCCACTCCCGGGACAACTTTGCGACAGAGTAAGCCCAACTGTGAGGCCGAACGAAATAATGGCGCGGGATTTTGAATCGAGGAGGCTTAGGCGTCGCCAGCATTCGCCGGCATTTCATGATGACATCCTACTACATGACGACCATGAAGGCCCCGGGGCTCCCCGGGGCCACCGCCATATTCCCGCTCGGGGACATGAACTAGAGCCAGCAGCGGCGGCAGGGGCTTTGCGGGCCGCGGGTTCAAATGCTCCGCCCTGCTGCAGAATATTTTTTTCTGTTTGCGTTCGCTGACCCTTTTATAGCGAATATATACAGGTGGCGAGGGAGGCCCTGCAGCAAACAGTGACAGGGTGGGGGTGGACGGCCTGGCCCTGCCCGGCCCTGCCCGGCCCTGCCCGGCCCTGCCCGGCCCTGCCGATGACGGCAGCCAGCTTCACTTGACGCGCCCCGCCCTCCGCGTCGTTCATTTTGGCCGAATGTTCCCGGCGCCTTGTGTCGCCGCCCCATAACCACCCGGTAGCGTAGTCGATACCGCACCGGGCCCCCGACCCGAGGGACGCCGGTTCGATTCCCGCCGCCGCGCACTGCGCCGCTGACCCCATTCAATGAATGTGTTCTTATGATAATCGAATCGCTCGCGCGTCGTCCACGAGAGGAATCAGCCGGCGCATATATGCAGCTTTTTATGCTGACCCCGGCGGCGATATACCTCTGATTGGCCCCGGGGAACACGCCTGAGCGGCCCCGCCCGAGCTAGCGCACACCGCTACCCCATTTGCAATCACCTTTCGCCAGTTTGGCGCGAAATGGCTCGTGGTGGCTGCCTGGCCCTTGGCCTGGCCGCTGCCCGGTACGGTACCCGGTACGCTACCCGGTAGGGTACCCGGCACGGTACCCGGTACCGCTGTCTGCGTGGGCGCCGCGGAGTTTCCGGAAAGGCTCGCGCACTGCCAGCGGATTGGCCCAGGGCGGCCAGCTCAGCCAGCTCAGCCAGGGCAGGAGCCAAATTCGACTAATTAAGCAACTTTACGGCCATTTCGGCGACCCGCTTAAAAATATCACCCGTCGGCAGTAATGAGGTCGACCAGAGTCGCCAACTTTACCACCTTCTCTTCCCGACAGCGCCCCGCCCCGCCGTGGAGAGGAACCTTAGCACCTGCGCGGCGACGCGCGGCGCGGGGCTGTCTGGCGTGCAGACGGTGTGAACGCCCTATGTGCCCCGGCTCGACCGGCGGGCGGACGGCCGAGCAGGCACAGACAGACAGACAGACAGACAGACAGACAGACAGACAGACAGACAGACTGCTGCCATGCGAGGGGCGAGGACAGACTGGGACGTCAGACACGGTGCAGCCGGCGTCCTCCACATCTCTCCCCTTCCTTTTTGCCGGTGTCGGTTTCGCCTGCTGAATATGCTATTTCCAGAGCGGCAGGCCTCAACTTGGCAGTCAATACTTGGCTGACAAGTTTCCCCTGATGCCCGGGGGAAAGACGACGGGGTTGGGGGAGGGGGAGGGGCGCAAGGGTGACTGCTGCGATGCAATGTAGCCGTTTGCATGCGTATGCAATGGCCGGATAGGGCATGACTACGCTGGGCGGGGCGGAGCGGGGCTGCCTCGGCCATACTCCGTTTGCGTATACAATATCTTCCAGATGCAAACCTCTCCGGTAAAGCCAGCACCGCTCAACAGCGCGCCGCCGCCGCGCTCCACGCAGAGCTACCCCGTGCTTAGACCAGCAGCCGGGCCGCGCCGCCGCGCGTCGGGAAGGCAATGAAGGCAGTAACGGCGGTGGGGGCAGCGTGGACCTCCCTCACCTCACCAGGACAACGCGTGTGATTTTTTGGCTGTTGCGAACCAAACCGCACCACGACTACGTCAATTTGAACGGCATTGGTGTTGCAGGTTTCAACACGTACACGTTCAACTCGACGGCGCACACGGAGCGCGTGGCGGACGAGATCCTGAGCGTCACGTACGAGGACGGCAAGTGGAGCAAGCCGTACTACGACTGTGGCGGCGGCAACATCTGGATGCTCACCTACACCGTGCCCTTCTTCGGCTTCGCCAACGGCACCTACCACTTCAAGTGAGTCGTCGTCGTCCTCTGGATGTAGCCAAGGCCACCGTTGGCGCACACATCCCCCCTCCCCCTTTCCCTCCCGGGCCGCGACGCGACGCGAGTCCGCGGACGCTGGCGGACGCGCCCACCCCGGTCAAGGTCCACAGAAAATCATGCAAAATAGCCTATCCGTATTTCCGGAGCCGCCGGCAACTTTGCTGCCGAAAGCCCGCACGCCCCGCGCCACCGCGCCTCCAATCTCGGCCACGGTGCCATTGGCTACACTGCCAAAAGCAAACGAGAACAACAAAACATGAGAGAAAGGAGCTATGACACAGGCATACTATCCTGACGATATTGGCTCGAGCGTTCTTTGCACCGCGACTGATTTCGGAATGAAAGGTGCGGAGTTGCCTCCCCCTCCCCTCCTCTCCACCGTCACCAACCGTGCTCACTCCCGGCTCCGTTCAAAAATGCTTCAAAACAAACATTTTAAATGAAAATCAATCTCGGTGGACGGAATATGTATGGGGAAATAATTATTCCACCTCCCTGTGTCGAAACGAGATTACACGACCGTCAGTGGACTGGAGCAGGAGGTGCTTCCGGGCCAAACTCGTTGTCACGCCTGCCAGCCTGGCCGACCGACCGCTGGAGGTGGGGCATTCCACCAGCCTCGCTCTTGCCCGACACGATTTATCGGGGATAAAGTTTTAGCTCAAGTAGGGCTCAGCCAATAAGTCTGCCTGTGTAGAACAGCGGGCGTTTAAACGCAATGTCCGACGAGGGACACCAAAAAATTCCGTCACTGAGAGCAAGGCGGCAGAGCGAGGCGTCCCCTATGGGGCAGGGGAGGGGTGGGGGAGGGGGTCCTTACCCCGACACCGTCGCATCCGGTACCCGTTGGTACCCGTGGGTACCCGTTGGTGGCCGCCTTGAACACCGCTTCCACGCGACCATCTGTCTTCCCCTCCGCGCGGCTGTCTGCCCGGCTGTCTTAGTGCAGCGAGTAGATTAGGAGTTGCGGCAGGTGAGTGAAATACGGTGATCCGGTACCGTTGGTACCACTGCACCGGCCCGAGGGGGCGAGGCTGGCGGGGCGCAAGCCGGTGGCAGGGCCCTCGGCCTCGGCGACCGTCTCCTCGAGGACTTGGTCGTCGACAGGGCGCTCCGGCCGTCCTCACCTGCAGTGGCCTGCCTCAGTGGCCGGCCTGCAGTGTAGGCAACCCAGGACCCAAGCTAAGCGGCTCAGCGGGCCGCCTCGGGCGCTCATTCATTCAAACGCCCCACTTTGTTTTTATTCATTTTTTTTTCATATTTCTCTGCCATCTTGTTCTTCTTTTGATCTCTACATAGACCCTCTGATTACTCGGTCCGCGTCATCCCCGGCTTAGAGCCGTGCAGCCCAAAAGCCGCGGCCGGGCCGGGCCGAGCCGAGCCGCGCGCGCAGCCAGTAAGCCGACACCGGATGTTTCTTCCTGTTTAATGAAATGAAGGCTGGCAAAATAAACTGCCCCCGCTGTGCCCGCGCCGCGTTCTGTGGCGGCCGCGCGCGTGTCCTGGTGATCCTGGCCGCGCCCAGGCCGTCCACACCCCACGCGCTGACACGGCTAATCCGCGTTCGCGGCCGTTCCATTTCCCCTGTACGCCGCGCTGCCGCGATTTCATTTAGCGCCCACTTGCAGTGCCGTGTCGGGCCGTGTTGACGGCCACCTCGATGACCGCGATGACGCACCACCGCCACCACGCTCGGCTCCTCCTTCCCGCCGAACGGAGCGACAACACCTCGCGCACAATGGCGTGGGCCGCGGGCCGCCGTGCGTTCGGCTGCCTCCGTCCCACTCCATCGATAAGACCTGTGCCCCAGGACAACTTTGTTGCTTTATGGATTTCTCATGTCGGATACATTGCGCCGCGCCCTGCCGTGCCGTGGCGTGGCGTGGCGTGGCGTGGCGTGGCGTGCCGTGGCGTGCCGTGCCGCGACCGCGCCGCGGTGATCCCCGCGCGGCTAGTCTGCGAGCCGAGAAAGGCGCAAAGGAGGGGAGGGGTGGGGTGGGGGCAGCAGTGGGACTTGGGGGTTTGACAGCGTGGAGAGTGGGGGAGAGAGAGAGAGAGAGAGAGAGAGAGAAGAGAGACAGAGAGAGAGAGAGAAGGGAAGAGGGAAGTCGGCAAGGAGGGGATGAGGTTTACCCGCCCAACACCTTCCGTCGTGATCCACCACACACACATGCACACACACACACACGCAACACCCCTACACACACACACACACACACACTCGCGCGCTGGCGTTGCCTCTCTCATGCACACATGCAACGCCCCACAGCTCGTCTTTTGAAACGGATCCCATCCGAGCTGTGTCTCCATCACAGCCATCCGACCCTTCTCCTGTTTGGTGATAAATATTTAGCCCAAAGCCGCCTCGGTACGCCCCGCCTAGGGATTTAAAGCCTGGTAGATTTACCGGTAAGAAACGGTAATTTACCGGTGATTTATGGTAATTTCACCGGGCCCCGGTAAAATACGTAATAAACGAGAGTATTGAGAAAGAGGCAAAAATTGCGTTGTATAGTTAGTTTCCGTTTTCGCGTTTTCGTTTTCGCGTTTTCGTTTTTGTTTTCGCGTTTCCGTTTTCGTTTTCGCCCTTTTGTTTCCGTTTTCGCGTTTTCGTTTTCGTTTTCGATTTTTACCGTTACTAACGGTAAATGACCAATTTTACCGTAAATGACCGTCAGGGTTGAAAATGACCGGTAATTTTAAAACCCTGGCCCCGCCCCGCCACCTTGCCAAACTTGAGCCTTGAGCCTCAGCCGCATGTCACATTTCGTGTTTTCTGCAGCCCGGCTCGGCCCGGCTCGGCCCGGCTCGGCCTGGCTGCACAGTGTCGTGAAGAATGCGGCGAGTGGTTACTGGAGAGCTGGCCAGGTGATTACCACCAAATTACGCGAAATGCCGCTAATTATACACGCGGCGTTGCGAACGAAACTTTGTTTTCGTGTTTCGTCGGGCAGCGCCGAGAAGCTGCTTTGGGCACAAGATTCCGAGCTGTTAACTCAGCGAGCTTACACGCCGTGCCTGTTTACCTGTAAACATTCACGTAAGTGTGTCAGTGTGTGTGTTTGTGTGCGGGGCTGTGTAGGTGCGTGTATTTGTGTGTGTTCGCGCAATTAGGGAAAACTTTTTTTTTTCGTCGAGGTCGTCACAGGCGGTAGGTGGCTGGAGCGCGCGGTGGCCTCCACCTAGTCAGCTAGGCTTTCAGTCTTAGCTCGGCCTTCGCGATGTTTGCTGCCGGCCTCGGCCTGGCCTCGGCCCCGCCAGCGCACTGCCAGGCACCGTCCGGGACACTCTCACTCGAGCTGTTCCTCCCCTGCCGAGGCTCAGGGCTTGGTAGACTAGGAGGGCTTGGTGGGCTTGGTGGGCTTGGTGGGCTTGGTGGGCTTGGTGGGCTTGGTGGGCTTGGTGGTGGGCTTGGTGGTGGGCTTGGTGGTGGGCTTGGTGGTGGGCTTGCTGGGCTAGGTGGGTTCGGTGGGCCGCGCCGCGCAGAGACTCGCGACGACTTAGCCCGTCTAAATAATGGCCCGCATCCAGCCGAGCGTCTCCGCGGGGCTGTTCATTAGACCTACCTCACAGTCGACATACCAATATATTTATTAATAAAAATATAAATATAAATGCTTGAATAAAAATATGGGACTATAAATAATAGTGTTATAAATATTAACAAAAAAGGTTGACCTACCCCACAGTTGACCAACCCTATATTTTTATTATAAATTTTTTTGAAGTATCGTCTACTGTCACTGGGACACTGTCGCGCTTCCTTTGCCGCGACACTGTCGCGCTTCCCCTGCCGCGACACTGTCGCGCTTCCCCTGCCGCGAGGCCGTCGCGCTTCCCCTGCCGCGACACTGTCGCGCTTCCCCTGCCGCGACACTGTCGCGCTTCCTTTGCCGCGACACTGTCGCGCTTCCCCTGCCGCGACACTGTCGCTCTTCCCCTGCCGCGACACTGTCGCGCTTCCCCTGCTGCGAGGCCGTCGCGCTTCCTTTTTCCACGACACTGTCGCGCTTCCCCTGCCGCGACACTGTCGCGCTTCCCCTGCCGCGACACTGTCGCGCTTCCCCTGCTGCGAGGCCGTCGCGCTTCCTCTGCCGCGACACTGTCGCGCTTCCCCTGCCGCGACACTGTCGCGCTTCCCCTGCCGCGACACTGTCGCGCTTCCTTTGCCGCGACACTGTCGCGCTTTCCCTGCCGCGACACTGTCGCGCTTCCCCTGCCGCGACACAGTCGCGCTTCCCCTGCCGCGATACTGTAGCGCTTCCCCTGCCGCGACACTGTCGCGCTTCCCCTGCCGCGAGGCCGTCGCGCTTCCCCTGCCGCGACATGGTCGCGCTTCCCCTGCCGCGACACTGTCGCGCTTCCCCTTTTGCGAGGCTCTTCCTCTGCCGCGACACTGTCGCGCTTCCCCTGCTGCGAGGCCGTCGCGCTTCCTCTGCCGCGACACTGTCGCGCTTCTCCTGCCGCGACACTGTCGCGCTTCCCCTGCCGCGACACTGTCGCGCTTCCTTTGCCGCGACACTGTCGCGCTTTCCCTGCCGCGACACTGTCGCGCTTCCCCTGCCGCGACACTGTCGCGCTTCCCCTGCTGCGAGGCCGTCGCGCTTCCTCTGCCGCGACACTGTCGCGCTTCCCCTGCCGCGACACTGTCGCGCTTCCCCTGCCGCGACACTGTCGCGCTTCCCCTGCCGCGACACTGTCGCGCTTCCCCTGCCGCGACACTGTCGCGCTTCCCCTGCCGCGACACTGTCGCGCTTCCCCTGCTGCGAGGCCGTCGCGCTTCCTCTGCCGCGACACTGTCGCGCTTCCCCTGCCGCGACACTGTCGCGCTTCCCCTGCCGCGACACTGTCGCGCTTCCCCTGCTGCGAGGCCGTCGCGCTTCCTCTGCCGCGACACTGTCGCGCTTCCCCTGCCGCGACACTGTCGCGCTTCCCCTGCCGCGACACTGTCGCGCTTCCTTTGCCGCGAC